AACTGACATGACTATGTGCTGTGCTATGCTGGTTAAGAAAATATATATATGAATGTTATCCACACATCAACAGGCCAGCAGTATGAAAACATGTGGTTTAAAGATAACACAGAAGATATGTTTATAAATGTGTAATATTATGTACCATGGATATATGCTTGTTTGTGGATATCATTTATCTACAAAGAGGATATATATGCACAAATAAATGCACCCATACTGAACATTCTCCTTGTGCTACTTCTTGCCTACTTATTTATAGTCTTCTGTAATATCTTATTTATATACTATGGTGGTGGTCGTCTGCTCTTTTCATTTGTTATAGCAAGGCAAATGTGTTGCAACTATTTCTGTGTTTGACTCATCTTGATGAATTTTGTATTTGATGTCAATAAACTTATGTTAAATTGTTAACATGCCTCAGAGAGTCTGAAATGTGTGTAAGTGTGCCTGTGAGTGATTGCTATGTCTGACACATGCGTAAACGCATGTTTTACTTTCTACATTATTGATATGTAACGGCATGCTCTCAATTCAATAAAATCGTTTGTTCCCTAGCCAAAAAAAAAAAAAATAGTGCACAACATGTGTTAACAATCTTCTCATGTCCTTTTCATACTCCTTTTTTTATTCTTCTCTAGTTTTCCCTTTTTGTTTGTTACACTCTTTCTTTTTCTTTACACAGCTGTTTTAGAAGTCCTTAATATCCAAGCTCTCAAAATCTTGAGCCTAACAAACTAAATGTATTGGATTCTTGCCAGGACAAATTCCAGTTTGTTATAATTTATCTTTTGTACTTATCCCTCCACCCCTATTTTTTTTTTATTTTTCTCTATTTTTCCTTTTTGGTTTGTTACACTCTTTTTCTTTATTCATGTTTAAGAAGAACATATTCCTCCATGTCTGACCCATCTTGGTGAAATGCATCACTTTTGGTGGCATATAATGTCAATGAAGTCAAACATCCAACCACCATAAATATCATTTATCTGTAAACTTTGCCAGAAAGTTATGTTACTCTGTCAGATTTAAAGCCTTTGATTTGGATGTGTATTTGTGTAACAGGAAACAAAGCCTCTGCTACTATTCAGCCATTTCTCTTGCTCCATCTTGACATTTCCCATGAAGCTGTTAGTACTGTTGAAGATGCTCTTCGTTTATTTTCTACACCCGAAACACTCGATGAGTACCGGATATCAACAGCTGGAAAGGTAATTTATCTTACTGTTTTTGAATTCTTGTGTTGGGGGCCGTAAACAAATTACTATGACAATGAGGTAGGAAAGAGACCCTAAAGAGAGAGCATGGGAAATCAATCCATATTTGGCTGCAATTGACTCCCTGATCTCGTGGTTGGGAAAATCAGCAGTGGCCAACTAGAGTAGACTCAGTTCTGTTTCTTCCGTTTTTTTATCATCATAATCACTAACCCCAAATGCATTTAGTGAGGAAAGAAAGACGTACATCTGCCAAAGAGCAGTACAAAATAGTCAACTCAGGAAAGATGGATATTCTCCTGCTTAAATCTGTTGATTTCTTCTGCTTGACATAGCTGATACCAATGGCAGAGATGACCTCACAGCACCCATTCGTTTACTCTCCTGATGAGCAAAGGCAATGCCCTAATTTTTGGCGTCCTAGTTGCTTTAATGGTAGCAAATGAAAGAAGAATTATAAGGAGCAGTTCTAGTGGAAAAATTATGGCCCAGAGATGGACCCTAAATTCGGAGGATTACAATTTCTCAAATAAGGAAGGAGAATTCAAGAGCATCTTCAATAATATCAAAAATGGAAGGCAACTTACTTACTGGAAAAAAGAAAGACAACTGCAGTTTTTTAGTTATTATTCCAAAAGCTGAGGCAACTGAGATTTTGAATTAAGAAGATTGCTCTGTAAAAAAAAATTTTGACGCTAAAATTATTATGTGTGTGGTAATGATAGCGTTAGGGGATAGATAAAGAAAAACTGAAATGTGGTATTGTTCTTCGAAAGTTGGATTTCTGAAGCATGTCATAACAAGTACTAATCTTAATGCCCAAGCTGAGAAACTTTAGCTTGTTGAGTGGATTCTCAAGGAAAGGTACAAGCTGACCAACCATTCCCCTTGGTGTTCCAGTTATGACGGAGTGAATTTTCTGAAATGTACAGATCAAAAGAAAGGGGGAAAAATGCTCCGAGTTGCATGCAAAATCTGTCCTAGCTTTCTAGTAAATTTTCAGACATTTGTAAAATGCGGAAGTTGTAGTCCGAATGTTGGAAGTTAGCGTAGGTACCGGTATCATGCTGTCGTAGCCCTAGGTGCCGGTACCAAGTCTTGCAGGTACCGGTACCTAGAAACCAGAATGCCCAAGTACCGGTACCACGTAATAGTGGTTCCGGTACCTCTTCTAAAAACTTGAAAATTTAAAATGTAACATCGTCGAGCCTTCACATCTTGGGCACTCTTCTTTGAATGATGTAAATGGGAAAATATTAAGTCCTAAATTTACGGTTTGGACCTTGGAATGGTTTTATAGATAATATCTCAACAGGTTATGTGTTGGGTAGTGCTCCCGTGTAAAGGAGGTTCTGTCTGGATTTCGTTTTGTTATGATCCAGGTGAAGGGGTGTAACGACGTGGTATCGAGTTATGCGATAGCCATGAGTATTCAGCGAGTTGATGGTTGATCAACGGGTTGAGGAAGGACCCCGGATTTTGGGGTGTTACACTAGGATATGAGAACTCCTCAATAAGTAAAGACACACAAAACCTAGAGAAGGAAAATGTACTTTAGTGTTCTGTTGTAAGAGTAGTATGAAGTTTAAGTTGGTGTTTTCAAGGGCTCTCTAGAGAGCACTGGTATCCCCTTAGGCTCATTCTGAGAGCTGCTAAAGAATTGTGAGCTTCAGTGTTAGGCATACAAGATGCACACTTCTTTGTATGGGTAACCATCATGATTTATACAATTATTGAATCAATCATTTTCTTCTCTCATTTGAGCCAATGCATTATTACTACGAATACACACACACTCACACTCACACATCCCCTCACGATGGCTGCTCGTTTATACGGGTAGTCTTGCACCTGTGCATGCACAAAGTCTTGTACAGCTATATGATGCATATATACATCTTTAGTTCTGTTCATTGATATAATTCTTTATTTTTAAATTTAAGTCTGCATGTGTTTATAATTGTGATGAATGTAGCTGATATGGCCTTGTTATTGTTAATGAACCATAGCTGATGAATGTAGCTGATATGACCTTGTTATTGTTAATGAACCATAGCCTATTTCTGGGTGGATCTTATTAGTGATGAGACGGTGCACAACTGTGGTTAGGCTTGTATTGTTTTCCGTGGTCTACAATATCTGCTAACTGTTTAGTTGCTTTGGTTGGATCCTACTTTTGAAACCAATTCATCTTGGTCCTCATGTCCAATTACATTTATTTAATGCTTAATGTTAACATTGACGCTTTCTTTATTGCATTGTTGATGCATTCACTTCTGGAGTTTACTTGTCCATGTTCGAGCTGTGTTAGCTTAGCTTTGTTAGAATTGAGAAATATCATTTTTTATGCTTGCTTTCAATTTGGTGCCATGTCGTACCATGATCTGGCATTCTAGCTCTCTCAATTTCAGTGGAATGGTCAGTATTAGATCATGTCATGTGTGTTTGACATATGATGATCAAGTATTAACGCATTACTTTCCAGGCTGGAGTTGCAGCTGCTAGAAAATCTGTAAACATACAGACACTGCCCAAAATAATGATATTACACTTGATGCGTTTTGGCTATGGAATCCGTGGAAGCACCAAACTGCATAAACCGGTGGGGTTTCCTCTTGAACTTTTGCTAAGTCGTGACTTGCTTGTTTCTTCAGCTAGTGAGGTATTGTTCCTTTACATTCTTTATTTCTTCTTTCTTTGTTCTCTGTTAATCATTAAGAATAATTTTTTGTTTTGCCCATTGAATGATGTCTCTTTGGAAAAAATAGTTATAATCTTCTCTCCTTTGTGACCCATACATTCATTTCTAGATTTTGAACCACATTATTGGATTATGTGGCTTCCCTGCCAGAGTTTTGTTTATCCGGTGCAGATTTTAATGATAGTTGTATTGTCTCTAATGATTATGTACATTACCCAAAGTTAATCAATAAAAACATTTCATTCTGGCCTTTGTTTTCATGTAACATGTTTCTTGATGTGTTGTTCTATGAACTGTTTCATAATACACTCAACAAAAGATAAAAAAATATTGCAGTTTCATAATAGGACAAAACTTTATGAACCTTTAAATCGTCTGACAATCCTCTCTATTGCTTATTGTGTAATCCAACTCTTTTTTCTATAGAGTTCATACATCAAAGGGAAGATCACAAACTGCCGAATTAAAACTCTCTAAATTATTTCTCATCTTGCCTTTTGCAGGGCCGAAGATTTGAACTTGTTTCCACAATAACCCACCATGGGAGGGAAGCCTCAAAGGGGCATTACACTGCTGATACCCTTTACCCTAATGGTCAATGGTTACGGTTTGACGATGCATCTGTCACTGCCATCAGCACAAGCAAGGTGTTGCATGACCAGGCCTATGTTCTCTTCTACAAACAAGTAAGATGACAAACAGGGGCTTTCATCAAGTATACATTACAAAGAAGCAAATCTATTGCATTCATGTAAGTTGTTATGGAGATGATTTGGCTGCCACGTGTAAGCTGGTCTGGCCCTTTACCTAGGGTCGTCCTCGGTTAAGGTTGGAGTGCCTTCAGTTTGGGATGTCATTCAGAATCTGAAATTGTAACTTTAATTGCAGCCATTCGAAGATGTACGAAAATTTTGTTATTCTTTCTATTTAATTGAAGCTTTATGATATGCAATCCTCCTTTTGATTCAAGAAGTTTGGTTGTTATGACATTGTGAGCCACGAGATTTTTCATGTTATACGTGTTGTGTAGAGTTAGAAGATGCACAAAAACCACATCTTGAAATGTTGCGTAGGATAATTATTAACTGCTAAGACCAGAAATTGTCTTTTTGGGAAGGTCCTGACGGAGTGTGTTTTCGCAACTCCAACCGTTGACACCCAAGTCACAATGAAACCATTTTACTTCTGCTCCAAGATTGTTTTTATACCTTAGATTATCATCGTCCTTATACCATACTTCAGTAAATTGAAGCTCTTTCATTCCTGCAGACCCCTAGATTGGTGGTTTGAATTATTTGAATGCACCCTTGACGTATTCAAAGAAACCATTTTCAAAAAGTAACATTGATGGCAAAGGTTGTGTCCAAATGGCATCAGTTCGTAATAGTAACATGATTTTCAGCTTCATTACACTTTTAATGCACTGTGGGTGTCTAGGAATCGTTGCGGAAACAGTCTTTCTGTATGCTACGATAAAACCAGAAGCCTTAACAAACTATGAAGTGAGCCTCATGCACTTGGTCGCCCTTTAATAAAGATGTTTCCAACATAACTTTTCATTTTCTTCCCTGTGTTGAGGATTAGATGTTTTCTGAAATTAGCCTAGGTCTTGATCTCTTATAGAACTCGTTATACCAAAATGTTGTATCTACAATGTCAACAGAAATTTTCAGTTGTTTGGCTGTTGTAGGTGAAAAGATTGAATTTCTTTTCTTTCCTTTTTCTTCAACAAGCGTTCGGTCCCTGAGAAGAAAATGACCAGGAAGTAAAATTTTTAAGAGTTTAGGAGATTGCATTTCCTCCCAGAAAGAGCCTAATTCTCTGTTATAAGCCACTGAGGAAAAAGGTGAGGTGGAAAAAAAAAAAAATATATTCAGAATCTTAAAAGTACCTTCAATATGTGAGATCTGATAAAACAAAAAAAACCTTGCAATCAACTGAGACTAATACAGCAGGTGAGGGGAGGTTATATTCTATAGAAATAGATTAAAATCTCGAGATTTCGAAAGTTTTTACTTTTTTTCTTCAGATTTTTTAGGAAGCAAACAAAGGATGAAGGCAATAGACACACATAATATGTCACTCAGAAAAAAAGGTACCTTTTCTTTGTTAATGCAACACTAACAAGCTGATCTTTCCTCTTTTGTCTGATTGGAAGTTATAAAATCACAATATCTATTACAATAATTTGCTCAAAAGTGGAACCTTTACCTTCCATTTTCTCTCTCCTTTGCTAATTGTGCATGCATCTTCACTCCCTTTAATTTTAATAATGTTTTGAGTAAGATTTGATTTGCTCCAGCCATTCATTTCACAAGGGTTATATACAAGACAGGCACTAGTTCAGTGGGCATTGCTATTCATAATCTGGTAGTGCCATTTGATTATTGCAAATTTCAGCCAACAGCATGTCTTTCTTCCCAGAAGAAATCAGGCTGATTGCTTTCACTTTATGTCTGCTCCAAAAAGTTTGTAAAAAACTATTCTGTATAGGTAGGAGTCCTTCCTTTTCTAAATTGAAAGAATAAAGATCAAATTGAAATAGGTGCCTTCTCTCTCTCTCCACACATCACACACACAACAAGCTGAATGGTCTAATTTGGAGGATGGAACTTTGTGTTTATTAAGAGCAGTGACTGGAGAGGAGATGTATTAGGCTGTACTTGACAATTTTTGAATAGCTGCTGAGAGTTGGTTTGTGCAAGCAATATCTGTCTTGATTTGTTGTCGGCTATGAATGCTGTGTTGTTTTGAGAGATTCATAAACTATAATTTCTGTTATAAGGCTCTAAGTGATAGAAACCCATTGTAAATTGGTCACATTTAGTCCCCAAAAAGTATAGGTTAAATCAGATCCACTCTAGAGAAAAAGAGAGATAATTTAAGCATTGAATACTAATTGCCCTTGGATGAATTGAAGTATTGAACTATTTGTAAGGGGTAGAAATCGCTACGGATCTCATCCCTCCACTTGAAAGATTCCGGCTGACCTGGCGGCACCGAGCCCCAGTAGCCTTTACCTCTCTTCGCCAATAGGACCCTTTCCTAAGGTAATCCCACATCGGACGAGAGTCGTCTTCCCCCCTGCCATATAAGTGAACACTTCCTATGAAGGAGGTACCCACTAGGCACCTGATCAGGTCGCTAGTGGGTACCTCCTCCATAGGAAGTGTTAGTGGGTACCTCCTCCATAGGAAGTGTTCACTTATATGGCAGGGGGAAGACGACTCTCTTCCGATGTGGGATTGCTTTAGGAAAGGGTCCTATTGGCGAAGAGAGGTAAAGGCTACTGGGGCTCGGTGCCGCCAGGTCAGCCGGAATCCTTCAAGTGGAGGGATGAAATCCGTAGCGATTTCTACCCCTTACACTATTCTTTTGATTTAATGGATCTTTATGGTCCAATCTGGCGAAGATTTGTTGGTATTTTATATGATAAGAGAGTAGAATAGCGGTTAATAACTAGACAAATTTTTGGAACGAGAAGCATCATGGATTTCTGATCTAATCATTTGAATGTGCCATCCAAAAACACATCAATTCAGAGTAAAATTTGATGAAAATGAGCAATATTTAATGAAATTAAAAGAGTTGTAACATAAGGTCACAAATTTGATCATGGAGAAAATAACTTCATGCAGCAATTGTAATTGTGTCCAACATTATGCAGGGGATATTACTGAAGCATATTGGATCTGATCTTTTCTGCCATTAGTTTATATGTAAACCTGTTGGAATGAAAGATTGTCCTGGTGACAGCTACAGAAGCATTTTAAACAATAGAAAGTAAGATACAGATTCAATGGCTTAGAGCAAACCCAATACTTTAGTCTTTGTCAGCCTTCACTTTCCTTTTTCCCTGCAAGTTGCCAAGATTTCTTTAACAAAAGGGACTGTAACATTGAAAAACATAAAATTTTAAATCATTTTGAGGGAAATTATGTGTACAGAATAAGTATTTCATTGTATTTGCGGAAACAGTTTCTCTGCATGTGAGGTAAGGCTACGTATATCTCACCATCTCGAGACTCCATATTAGCGGGAGACTCGTGTACTGGCCCCCATTTTTAGAAGTGTGTAAACCAAAGTTAGAAAGAGCAAGCTGCTCCCCCAATGCCGCACAGTTTTTTTGCTCAGTGATGACAATGATGCAGGTTCTTTCTTCCTCCAAACAGAGCTTTTAAGGAGAATATATAACTAAGTGGGAACAATAAACTTGATGAACCAACAAAAGAAAAATGTAAAGCATAAGGGATCAAAACCAACTAAAGAAAATCTCTACAAGAACGGTTGTCGGCAGCATCCCCTTCCTTTGATTTCGTAATAAGTAACTGCTCTCCTCCTGGACTAGGGTCTAGGGCTGAGAATTAGTTGTGTTGTGTTGTGTTGGGTCTAAATCGTGTTGTATTAAATTTTCTCAACCTGTACCCGATCCATATATAATTGTGCATAGCAAGGTTCGAGTGTATGAGTCATGTTTAACAGATTGGTATTGCATTTAGCCAGATTCTTATCGCCCAATTTATTTAATGGATATAACGAGTCACCCGAAGCTGCTAAGACTAAATCCATGCCTGCTAATTCCGCGTTGATTTTGTGTCAAGTTCATGGTTCATATCTAAAAATGCCAAGTCTAACCTAGACATAGGTGCTGAACCAGTGTTTAATTTTTTAAGCTTGAGGGAAGTCCTTGTATAGATCACAATTATCTACTACAATCTAGCAACAAAAGGCAAGCAAAAAGATTTATAAAGAAAGAAACAGAAATAAATTATCAGAATAATGAAAAGCTTCCCTGCTCATTTAAACAAAACTGCTTCTTCAAGTTCTTCGATTTTATAGACTGAGCTTTTAGGATTTTCTAAAAGCGTCTCAGCATTGTTTCTCAATAATGTTGGGGGTAAAAAATGCCATGTTCTAGTCTTCTTGGGTCCTTGTACCAAAGCTCAGATAGTTGTTTGTTTAAGTTTGTCCTAAACAAAGAAGGATAACAACTACAGACACAATAAATTTTTTAGCTAGACTATGCAGGAGCTGCAATATAAGTATATCAGTGCAATAGAATATCAAACTGCGCCAGTGTTGTATTCAACACTGTCAGTCCCAAGCCAGAATAAAAGAGGAGGGTTGCGTTAAGTAGCTGACAGCTAACGTAAAATTTTGTCGGATCCACTATGATGAGTCCAAACAATGATAGATGCGCTAATGCTAGGTCGTTCCTCATAAGTGATGGACGCGTTGCGCATGCCTTGGGGCATTTTGAAAAATCAATTAGGGGCACTGCGCCTACCTCGAAGCGTTTTGATAAATAAGTTAGGGGTGTCGCGTCGGCGCTTGGGTGCAGTAATAAATGGGCAAGGGTCTCTGCGCTATGGATGGACGTCGGCAGTAAGGAAGCTAGTCGATGCAAATAATTTAGCCGACCCCAAATGATTGAGGCATAAGGCTTGGTTTGGTTTAGTGCAATAGAGTATCACTGAACTTCTATAGATTTGATTCCCTTAGAATTCTGCATATAATCCACTAAATTCTTAAACCTGTATGAGATAAAGAGACCAGGGAACAAAAACACACTGTCATGTTCCTCAGACTTGCTTCAAACTTTTACAGCTTACCCTTGAGATTGGCCTCGTTTTCGCCATTCTGTTCGAATACTTAAGAGCTGAATGGTGCCATGTACTCTAGTGAAGTGTTGGGA